AGCTGGCCCCATTCGCTCACTAGCTTGCCTCACTGTTCTCCACTGATTGGTTTTGCTCCCCCCAGTCAGTTTGCCTCTGCTCACCTCACTTCAATGAACCTTCGGTCTCTTGGGTGGCCTCTTGGGTGTAGCTGGGGTTCTGCCTCTCATAATTTCTCCAGTCTTCATATCCTTTTCCTTTCCCCAGTTTTTTTTTTCGTTTTCTATGACTTATCTTTCCCACTCAATCTCTCCTCCTACCATTTTATCTTAGTTTAATAGCAACTTTTCTCTCTGTGATGTAACTATACTTCCTCTGTTGCCGCCATCTTGGAACCATCTTGTTTGGATGTCCAAATCATCTGGTTTGGACATTTGTAGAATGGAAGACAGGTCCTATTCAATTTAAATGAAAGTAAACCTGTTAAATTTGAACATCCAAACTGATTTGAACCAAATCTTTCATCATATCAGATTCATTGTGCACCAATTACAATGATTAAAATACATACATACATGCCAATTTGTCAAAGTGCCTGAATTGGACAAAATTGATTTGGACATATTTGGTCAAATGGATCTAATAAAACTGTCTATTCAATCTGTGAAATGAATTTGACATTCAGAATTAGTTCAAATCAATTCAGAGCTTCAAAAAGTTATACAGTAACAGACAAAAATCCAAAGATCTGGAAAGGTTTTTCTATTGCTCTGGACTAGAATTTTTTTGGAGGCATGTTACCATTTTAACTAGATTTTTTAATCTATCCAGCTGCCATGGTATATTCATGCACTAGTGAACTAAACAGGCATTACAAGGTCCAGTGCTACTTTCTGTAAAGAATCTAATCTCCATAAAATATTCTAAGTGTTTCTATTACACTAATATTCACTGTCAGTAGAATTATTTAGTACCTAAAACAGTGTAGATGCTTCGAATAAATGTATCTGTAATAAAACTTAAGGCATTTAACTTGCAATTTAACTTGCAACTACTAGATTTCAGCTTTAACAGCCATCAATCCCACTAAGAATTGAATGTGACAGCAGACTGTGATTTGTAACAACACTCCATTAATTCTCACTGCAACCAATAAGGACCCACCAAGGACATCTAAAGCTATGAATCTAAACTTAGAACAGAGGCAGAACAATGCATTCACTTATTTCAAGTTTTATTTGTAAAAAATCTGGTTCTAACAGAACCCTTACATACTTCAAGACAAGTACTCTCCATTATTTCTGCTTGACTAATTACCGTTTCACTTGGCAGGTTAAAATTTGATGTTAGAATACTTCAAGTTCTAGGTGTTTGATCAAGAGAGGCAGCTCTTCATAAAAATTAGAGAAAACTAGAAAATTCCAAACTATTATATCAGATAATAGGGCTAGGACAGTCTTTCTTAATCTAATGTCCTCCAGATATTCCAATTTTTAATCCCTTTAACTTCCAACTGGAAGAAACAGCAGAAACTAGTTCAGATAATCAGCTATTAATGATTCTACAGTATATTATTTATTTAATTATTGTAATATTAATGCATAAAAGCACAAAACAGCAAAAACAATGTATTATTTTATGTATTATATTCTGCTTGTCTTCAGTTCAATGTACTTTTATATTCTTTCATTTTTCTGTTTATCAGAGATATCCACAACTCCATTTACAATGTTCAGATGTCCTTGGGCCCGGGTTCCGGTTTGAGCTTTTTCAGCGACAGACCTCGTCTCTGCGAGGTTTCAATCCGTGTTCGCCGCTGGAGCACCCTGAGCCGGCTGGTTTCGGGGCTAAGCCACCTCGTAGAGGTGGTGAAGAGGAGGGAGACTGCCAGCAGGGTTGAGGAGAGCCGCATCTCTCCTCCCCAGCTGGCCATTACTCCCTTTCCTGTAGGTGGTTGCAGTGGTGGTCAGAAATGGCCACCACAAAGAAGAACTCAACCGGAAAAGAATGTGCAGGAGGAAGATAAGAAGAGAAAGTTTTGGTTGACCGGGTCAAACAGCAAAAGCAACAAATAAGGTATCCTGGAATTGAAACTGTTAAAAAACAATAACATTGTTCCCTAAGAAGAATTTTAAGCTGCGAAGGAGAAAGAAAAGGGAAACGATTTGGTTTTCTCCTTTTCCTATACTGACAGCTAAGAGACTTAAGCAAGAAATTGGAAAAAAAATCCACTTTGACATCAATAGGCATTTAATGCTGAAAATAAAAAGTCAAAGAGATAATAAAGATTTCTGGATAATTAAAAGCTTTTGAAAACAGGAAAGGAGAGAGGAAGAATAAAAGGGCAGGATCTGGAAGGGAGGAGACTGCCTGGAATTAAAAAAGAACTTACAGCAAAATCTCAACAAGACTTCCAAAAGATACATTCTAACTGAAATATTGCAACAAAAACCCCAGGAAGAGAAAGTCGAAAAAGATATTACTTGGGACTATCTGGATTACTTGATGATTTCTGGATTCTTGGTTATTGTTTTGAATGACTAAAATAAATCGGGTGGTTGTTTAAAACTTTTTTAAATGGCTCCACTTTTAGAAGAACTGAAAATGGAACTTAAAAAGTACAAAGAAGATGCACAAGAAGGGAAAGATTCTTTTGGCTTCGTATTTCAGTTTTTAGAAATGGAGTTTTGGAATTATGAGAAACAACAAGAAATGCCTGCAGAACAAGAAGATTGCGACAAAGAAGACATCTTTAATGAACAAGTAATCTTAGATGGGGGGAAAAAAGGAAAGGGGAGAAAGAGAATGGAAAGTTTAAGATTGGGAAAAACAACTCCCCCCCCCCCACAAAAAATAGAGTGAAAAATAAGTATAAAATCAGAAAGCAACAGAAGAGGGAAATGCAGAAGAGAGAATTAGAACTAGAGAGACAAGGGGGTAAAAAGGGGAGGGAGAAAATGAGAGGGAAGAAAGAAAGGAAAAGAAGTTATAAAGGACAGAAGCAAAATATAGAGAAACAGGGTCTATTTAGAGATAATGGATGAAAACTTAATAGAAAAAGGGATTCTGCAAAGGTACATAAGATAGTATGGTTATATTAGAAGCAGAAATAATTTTAGAAAATATGAAACAATGTATGATTAAAACAACTGATAAAATAGCTATCGTAATTCAGTGGAATGCTTGTCAATAAATAAATGTAACAAAAGGTATATTTAATGATTTATAAAACATATGTGAAGAAAAATAAGGGAAAAATTAATTATGGAGATTATATGTGTTTTTAAGGAAGCATGATATTTAATTGAAAAGAAGTGTTAAAGATGTTATGGTTTTAATGATTATTAATGATAGAACAGAACTGGAATGGAATGAGGGTTTATAATTACATATATTTACAATCTTTTTTTAAAAAGAATATAGTGTGTATTATTAGAATGTGCCAAGCAGAATTTGATTGGAAGTTATGTATTATGTATTATATTGAATGTTATAACCTTAAGGTATACATTGAAGTTTAAATAAGAGTTGAATGGATAAAATTAAAAGATATAAAGGTGTCATACTCCAATTAGTAACTACAGGAGAAAATTTGTTTAATGAGAAAACATAATATGAAATTGAAACAGAACAGACAAAAGTATAAATATAATGATTTGAATTGAGATGAAATAATCAAAATAAAATTGAGAAAATTAAAAGAGGGGAAAAACTATATAGAAAATGTAAAATAGTATAAGATATGGAATAGAATACAAAAAGGAGCATATAAATAAGTATAAATAAGTTCAACCTGGGACCATGCTATTTTCGAATGAGCAAGGGGTAGAGATATCGGCATGCTATTGAGGTCCTGGTGAGAGTGAAGGGACCTCCCACCAACCCAACAAAGGGTCAATTCAGTGACCAATCAGGATTACAGATGTGGCCACATGACAAGAACTACATTTCCCAAGATGTGTTAAACTACATTTACCATGATGCATTCCCTTAATGGGACAGCTCTCGATTTCTAACTAACTATGCCAATTTCCATTAACTATAACTGGCTGGACAGCACAGTGCTGTGTATCTTTGTTTTATGGTTTCTTTTTTTTAAAAAAACAGCTAATTTTACGTGATGGCCCCTTCCCACAGCTCCACACAGTTCTTAATTTCTGCTGATTTATTTTGAATCCTTGCCATATCAGATGTAGTATTAAATGGAGTTTGGGATATCTGGCAGTGACTTTTGCCAATCACCAGCTAAAACAAATGGTTAGCAAATACACCACAGGCTTCCATACTTGACCAGATGCATTCCTGACAAATTATAAATCACTGCTATTATCTTATACAACAACAGAGAGTGTCGATTTTATGTGCATTCTACCAAGAAATCAAGCATACTTAATTGGATACAGATCATATGAACATGCATATGAACACTTGCATTCATATACAAAATAATCATATAGAGACTGTAAAAATCACATACGTTCATTGCAGATTTGAATCCTATAAATATTCTGCATATTCAGAATCTGATGCCTGTGTATATCTCACTACATGTAACAGAGTGTACTTCAAATTAAATGTAGATAGAGTTCAACACATCACCATCAAAATCTGTAAAAAATTATACAACAGAATAATCTCTAATTCAGGAAAATTAGACTTGAGCTAATTCCCGAGCACCCATTCAACTAAGGGCAGCTTATAGTTAAGATACTTTCTACTATGACTGAAAGTAGTCCTACAGGATTTCAGAAAAAGACTGTCCTGGTTATAGCTTGAGATACAATAAATTGAATCTACAAGTTGTTCTGTACAGAATTTAGGGGAATTTAGGGGAAAAATAAACCATAGGATACTCAGAATTCTCATATTCTCTAATAAGTACAATTTCTACAATATGTGCTTCTATCCTAGAATAACATATCATGACAGTCAAGATGATCCAAAGGTAGCACTACATTAAACATAGTTAATGCTATCATTGCAAATATTAACTTTTATGAACATCTGATTAATATTTGAATAGAGAGTATGCCTATATATTTCTTTTCATATACAAATAAAATATATGAAATCAACTTACAGAGAAAGGAAAGTAATGTTTACTGAAGTAGGTCCAAGATTTGGAATAGCTTCCAATTCATTGTTGTTCAGTTTTCTGTTTTAAAAGAAATAATGAAAGTTTAGCCAAGATAGACATAAATGGTAACTGGTATCTTATCTTCCCTTCCTATTTTATCTCTTAACAACTTAGCAGTTTTCACCTCCCACCCTCATAATGGCACAAATTCCCAAAGAAACGAAGTCTTTTAATGATGCTGACTTCCAAATGCCCAGTGAATTGTTGTAAGTCCTTTGAACATTTGCATTTGCCATTTATCTATGGAATACTAAACCAGAATCCTGGTTTATTGAGAGTATCCTTTGTGTGGTACATGTGGCTCATTTACTCCTCTCCATGCTAGTGAACCTGCCCCCCCTCCCACGGAAACTGCTTTACTGGTTTTTTTTTTAATTCTTAGAAGTTGGTTTCTGCATAGATAGAAAAAAAAAGGCTAGTGATTGGTTGTGGTTGTGTAATACCTTCTGTGACTTGGCATATAACTGTTACTACTTGTGCTTTCCATTAGCTGGGAGCTATCAGCTATCAAACAAGAGGAGCTTTCACTTAGCAGCATGGGCAGTGAGTGAGGGTATTGAAATACAGCAGTGTGTCATGTGTCTAAATAGGTAAATACCATTTTTTTTTCGAGTATAAGACAATCCGAAGTATAAGACGCACCTAGCTTTGGGGAGGAAAACAAGGGGGAAAAATCTGCCTCTGCCTCCCAGCAATTTGTATCCTTGTAGCAAAAAAGGAAACAGCCTGGTCAGCTTCAGCACAGCCTTATTAGCACAAGCAGCTGATTGTTGGCTGGATCTGCCTCCCAACAATCAGCTGTTTCAGACTGCAGGGATTGCCATCACCTATTGCCAACTCTGTGTGTCCCATTTTCAGCCACCGCACGCCCCGTTTTTGGCCTCCATGTGCCCCATTTTCAGTCCATTCCAGGCAGCAGGGATTGGAATGAGATGAAAATGGGGCACTCGGAGGCTGAAAACAGAGCATGCAAAGGACAAAAATGGGATGCAGAGGCCAAAAATGGGCCGCACGGAGGCAGCAATAGGTGATGGCAATCCCTGCCTGAAACAGCTGATCGTCAGGAGGCCGATCCAACAGACAATTAACTGCTCGTACTAAATCAAGCTGTGCTGAAGCTGACCAGGCTGTTTGCTGCAAGGAGGCAAATTGGTGAGAGACAGATGCTAAAGGGTGGGGGCCGGCAGGTGAGCGGGGCTTTGGCAACATTAGCTGTATAAGATGCACAGACATTTCCATGCACTTTTTTGGGGGGTGGGGGAGTGCATCTTATACACTGAAAAATACGGTATATGGTCATGACTAGGCAGAAAACATTGCTACTCATCTCTAAGAAATGCAAAGCGAAAGCCAACTGCTTTATATATCAGCTTTCTTTGGAATCACAACTTATCTCTGAATTCAAATCAAATCATTCTAGGTTTTATATGCACATGTCATTATGATTTTAGAAATTTAGAATAAAGCAATGGAAAAGAAGACATTTATAACAAGATAGCCATAAGAATCTGGCTGAGGCAGAACAAATACTTACATTTCTCGCAGATTATAAAGATGACTCAAAGAACTAGAGTTGATTGAAGACAATCTATTGTGGCTTAGATCACTGTAAAATTTTTAAAAAGCATGAATACTCATCAAAATGAGAGATATTTAAAAATAATCTAAATACATTTTGATTCGTATCTATCTTCTCCCATTTTCCCTCAGCAGCTCATATGATAGCCTTTCATATATTTTCATATGATGTCTATCAAGTGCATACAACTCAAAAGCTATTTTCATAGGAGCTTAAAACAATAAAATAAAAAACTATTTAAGACCAGCATGTCAAATAACTGTCCTGTGTAGCAGATAAATAAAATAAAATCTATCTTGGCAGCATAGGAGACCAAAGGCACATTTGGCAAACAAAGCTAATGCTGTCTTTCAATTTATAGTTTTTACTTGATATGTCTAAATTTGTGGTATATGGATATACTGATGTTGGGTGGCATGGAAACTTCTCCCATTCATATGTCTCTGCATCATTAATTCTCACATATAAAATGCAATATCAAGTATGGGGGAAAAAACCCAAATAAATACTTCAGCTTCAAGGCATAACCCATTTCAGATTCAGCAGTGAATAAAACTGCTCAATATGCCAAAGAAATCTATTCCCTGTAAGATCATGTGTTTATTTCTGGTATGCATATTCTTGATGGGTATGTATCTGTACCTTCTGGAAGAAATTAAAAAATGCATGAATATTGTGTAAGTGGTCTAAAAAAGCTCACAATAAATACCACCCTGATTTATACTAATATTTACTAATACTAATATAGCAATATTTGACTTTGGATCAAGGCATTATAAGCCCAATTTTATAAAATTATTATTATTAAAATACATTAACCTTTATTCTGCATAAGCAAAGAATATGAATAATTATTTAAACACAGGATTTCAGGTTTCTATTGACTTAAGTTACAGCTAAAACAGATAAATGCATATGCAAGGCACCAAGGTAGAAACTAGCTAGAAGACTCTGAGTTGTAGTCCCACCTTAGTCACAAAGCCAGTTGGGTGATTTCGGACTCACCACTCACACCCAGCCTTTAGAAGAAAACAATGGCAAACTACTTCTGAAATATGCTGAGGAAACCTTAGGGACTCATCTAGGAAGTCAACATTGACTGGAAGGCCTGACACTAAATAAAGATAGGAAGGAGTCAACATCATGAAATAATATAGAAGACATACTTTCTTTAGGGTCTGACAGATAATAAGAGAAATGAGTAGAATTGCTTTGGTAAATGGGAATGTAGCAGCGAAGGAACCGGGCACAGATTTTACATTATAGAAATCTAACTGTTGCAACTACTGCTGTCAATTATCACTAAACTAGACTCAGGAATTTTCACTAAAGAGCTCAAACTTACTCTCCATCTGGCTTCTATCAAGGAGATTATATGTATATATGTAAACATATTTGTTATATTTAAACATATTTGCATTATTTTCAGACTACCTTTGTATTTTCAAGAAGTGCTGGTATCAGCAGATTTTCTGTGATCTGTTCGTTCCCTCCTCTGTCCAGATTTTTAGTGTGTCTTCATTACTCAGCAGCCAAAATCAAATACTAAATACTAATACTTATAAATACTAATACTTAAACAAGAAATTTAATAGGCCTGTCATTTAAATCTTTTTTTTTTTTGCTTATAGAAGCATACAAAAAGGAAAAGATTGTTTATTTGAAGAAGTAACAAGTAGAAATACTCTAAGAGCTGAAATAAACGTGATCTTTTCTGAAGTCAATTTTGAAGAAGCTTCCTGACAAAATAGGTTTTAAAATGCATCTCTTTCTGGCACCTCAAACAATTTTTGACATAAATCCTTAAACTGATATGAAACAATATGAATCATTCTTTCCTTGTAATTTAGCAGTAAGTAAGCACTAGCATCACTGAAGTTCTGGAGCACACATTTTCCACTCCTCTGGCCTCCCACGTCTTTAAAACCACAGTTTAAAAGTAAAATTTCTCCAGTGGTTTCAAATCTCTAGTAGCATTGGAAATTTTAAATGATTAAGAATGACTAGATTCTGGCATTAAAAATACGCATTTCACTTTTAAGAAGGCAGGCCTGTTAAGCTGCCATTAGTTGTTACAATCTTCGAAGGAGTAAGACTCTTCTTTAAACTTTTCAGAACAACATGCAGAGACCTTGCTCTCTTGGATGTGGAAAATGCAATGGATATCTTGAAACACTGCCTTTTTATTAAGAAACTGTGAGGTTTTGCAGAGCAGCAAGCCTCTGTGTACATATCTAGACAGATGTTGATCTCTTTGCAATATATATGTAAAATGAATGAAGATACGGCAACTTTGTTCACTTCTGCGTCCTCCAGTTACTTCCCATAAGGCTCCAAAGAGAAGAACCAAAGCTTTGAATTCAACACCACTACAGCAACTTTACAACTATGCATATCGTAACTATGATATAGTGTAAGAAGCCAAAATTAGACACCAAGAATTGAATTTGGCTTTAAACATGATAAACTGCATCTTTTTACAAATGAAAGCATATACTGTACTATTATCATTGAATGATGGAGAGGAAAAATCTCAGGAGCCTGACTTTCATTCAAGTAATATTAAATCATTTCTTGTTTGTATTTGAATGTTGGGACTGAAATCACAAACCCCTATTCAACTTCAACTTCTGAATACCAGCTCCTGAATTTCCTCGTTTCCTTAGATGTAGGGACAGATGTCAGTTTCATCCTTCACATTCTTGCATTAGGATAATGAAGATTTTTAGAAATATTATTCAAATGCACAAGTCATTGTTTGTTATCAGAAAATATTAACAATATATCTGTGATAGCGAACCTATGGCATATGTGCCAGAAGTGGCATGCAGGGCCATCTCTCTCCGGGCATGCCAGCCATCATCCATTGTTCTTCTGGGTTCCAGCCCGCTAGTCTTCATGTACACGGGAACACCGGAATCCAGAAGAGCAGCTCCCCGGCGTGCTAGCTGGTCTTCATGCACTCATGCGTGTTAGAAACTGGAAGACCGGTGGCTGGTGCACATGCATGCACCAGGAAGCTGAGCTTCCGGTTTCCAGCACTCCCACATGCGCGAAGATCAGCTAGCCAGCATACATACGCACGCAAAGAAAAGGTTTGCCATCACTGATATATATGATCTCAAATATGAGCAAAATGATGGTATAGAAAGTTAGCACCTACCCCTCTCCTAGAAGAATGAAATATTCTAGGAAATATTAAAAAGGCAGAATATTTCCCCGAAAAGAGAAATAGAAATCTTAAGGGACACAGAAACTCAGCCCCAGCAAATATTTTGGTGCCAGCTTATCTACAGAACAAAAGGCTGGGCCAGGTTATCTACAACACAAAAGACCTTCAGCTTCAGGGTGATAGGATTAGCCCTCACTCAAAATCCAAACAGAACAAAGCCATTAAGCCATAAAAGGAATTGCCTAAAGCCCCTTCATTACATCACTCAGCAAGATTCAACCAAGCCTGGGACTCAAGACAACCTACAAAGTTACCCCTGCATGGCCCTATGGGAGTCTGACAACCAATCAAGATACATTTCTTGCCGCAGGAACAGGAAGTAAGTTCAAAGCCCAACAGAGAGTATAAATCTCTCCCTCTCTTACCCATGTGCTCATTTTTGCCCAGGACCTCAAACCATGTGGTCCTGTCCACCATTAAAACCATCATTCCAAGCAGTCTCTATGTTTTGAGTGTCTTTCTTCCCACTTGGAACTATACCCAGGTGGACATTTCTTCCAACAATGGTAAAGAAATAGAGCAACCTAATACTATGCCCCAAGGTTCATAAAACTTAGTAATTTCAGAAACAGTCTTCACAAAGCACACTTATATAATTGACTCAATGTACTTTGTTAAGTATAGTATCTTCTTTTTGAAAATGCTGAAATCTAGTTTTTTTTTTAATGCAAATCCAGCAACATATTAATTAAACCCCACTGAGACCTTGAGAATTGCTAATTCAGCAGAAAGAAGGAAAGCTAAAAAACAAAGAGGTAGGCTGTAGCTGTTTTAAGACACAGGTCCAAAGTGACTCATAAATCAGCCTGCTGTGTTCAAATTCCAGTCTGGAAAATACTGCAGAACAGCTGTGAAAACTATCCAAACTTTTTTTCCCCTCTAGCATGTCTGGTAAGGACTAGAGAGTTTAGAATATGTAAATACCGAGATGTAATGCAAACATTAGTAGAAAGCATCCTTTAGATTTCCCTCCCTGTCTCAGTGACAGACTTAACATTCCTAGACAATCCTGATAAAATAATCTAAAATTCCAAAGAGAATGGAAAAACATCAAAGATGTTTGGCAATTATTCAGATTTTCTCTTCTTTTCCCATCTGGCTGCTATACTTTAAACCTAACAAAAGCTACATTCTTAAAATGAGGAGTTGTTTCTATGAATTCTTAAACCTTTACGCTAAAGTTGGACTGCAGAGGTTTTTAAAAAATAAATTATTATAAACATTCACCTCTTTTGAACAGTCTTGGCTTTATTTTTAGTATATGCATACATCTTTATGAAAGCCTGCATTAAAGCTGTGTTAAAACTGGCTGTTTTCCACTACCCATTTTGCTATGTCAATCACAATTATAAGAGTAACCACAATGCTGACAACATGTAAAGATAATTTCAGTCTTTCAAGAACCAGGAACCTTTGGAGAGCTTCCAAAATTTAAAAATAATAATTTCAAAATTTGTACTTAGTTTGTTCCTACCAACCATCCAGCATTTATTTTATCTAGAACTTTGAATATGAAAATAAAATTAAAACAGGGGTTGTCTCCCCAAGAAATTATATAAAGAAAAAGGTTGGGTTGAGCAAAACTACATATATTTTACAGGGTGAACCTTTGTCTGCTTGCCTGCCGCCCCCCCCACCCCGCGTGTGTGTGTGTGTGTGTGTGTGTGTGTGTGTGTGTGTACAAAGGCTCACCCTGTAAATATATGTCAATTTTGCTCAACCCAACCTTTTTCTTTGTATAATATCTTGGGGACACATCTCTCTCTCTCTCTCTCTCTCTCTCTCTCTCTCTCTC